CCCCCACCGGCGGCCAAGCGGTGACAGCCCAGCTCATCGTCATGAGCGTGTGAGCTGCTGGTAAGGGGAGAAGCAGCGCGCACGGCTGCAGGGAATCTCACGGAAAAAACCGAGCTGGAACGCACACAGAAAATGCTGAGGCAGCCACGCCAGAAGCGTCTCGAAGCAGTGACCTGTCAGAGGAACTCCAGTCAAAGGCTTTCTGCCAATTGCATTGGTATCCATGCATCAGCATGGACCTGAGTCTCAGGTGTAGGATCTTCCTCACGTTTCACGTGTGCACCCAAGGCACTAATCCCCAATGCACGTAAAGAAAGCTGAAGACGACGCTAAGGGGAAGGAGCGGAAGCTGCCAAAGCAGGTGTGGGACTGCAACTTGATGACAAGTCAAACCAAAGTCACGAATGAACGGATCTGCGAAGCCTTCAAACCACATGCTGCACTGCAGACTGAACAATAACGTGTGAATCATCTGCCTCTGGTCATCCTGGTTGACGGTGAAGAAGTGGTCGTCAACAATGCCAAGGTTCCCTGGCATGATGGCTGGGCAAAGAGGAAGACCTACGAGCTAGTGGGCTGCAAAGTAGCAAATAGCGCATGCATAGCCATAAGAAGGCTCTATTTGCGTCGTAAAGGTTCATGCGCGATATGAATATTGCAAAGGCTTGTGGGGTGCGTGAAACTTCTTGCAAGTCTATGCGTCACTGCTGTTGAGTAGATATTTTGGTAGTTGGCCCAAGTTGTATGGAGACTTCTGCAATGTCACTGTGAGCACCGACAGGTAAGCCACGGAAAATGCACAGTCTGTTGGCGCAGGCGCTCTGAGGGTGACATGTGCTTCGCTCTAGATGTAGTTAAGAACCACTATGCTGTTCATTTTCTAATCGCCTCTCCTACAGAAACATGCAACAAAGTAGCACGAGGTGACACACAGCAGGCACTGCGCATGTTTTAGTGTGCTCTGGCCGTTCAGCTCGCGACTAGCCCTTGTATATGGAAGAGACTCCCCGACACTATGTCTAGTACTTGTTGTGCTTCCGCAAAACGACGTCCACACAGGATTTGTAAGGAAGAATTCATGGTATGAGACATGCAGTTGGTTACCATGTGAACATCTAGGTGACACCCTGCGTCGGGGAGACTCTCACTGCGTTGTCCGCTCCGGAGACACGGCAAAGTCGCCAGTTCTCAGCTTCCAGCTCCACAGATTGCTCCGCGTACTAAAGTTGTACTACAAAGTCACCAGTTCTCAGCTTCCAGCTCCCCAGCTACTCCGCGTACTACAGTTGTACTACAAAGTCGCCAGTGCTCATCTTCCAGCTCCCCAGATACTCCGCGCCCTCAAGTTGTACTACCCACTCGCCAGTTCTCATCTTCCCGCTCCCCAGCTACTCCGCGTACTACAGTCGTACTACCACGTCGCCAGTTCTCAGCTTCCAGCTCCCCAGCTACTCTGCGTACTAAAGTTGTACTACCAAGTCGCCAGTTCTCATCTTCCCACTCCCCAGCTACTCCGCGTACTACAGTCGCACTACCACGTCGCCAGTTCTCAGCTTCCAGCTCCCCAGCTCCTCCGCGTACTACAGTTGTACTACAAAGTCGCCAGTTCTCAGCTTCCAGCTCCACAGCTTCCTCCGCTCGCATCGCACTCTCGCCTGCGTTTCGCGCACTCGACACGCACGATCTCCGCAGAGGGTCGCGCGGTGATTTCACAAATCGCGCTCTCGCCTGCATTTCGCGCACTCGACCCGCACGATCTCCGCAGAGGGTTGCGCGGGCAGCCGGCAAATCGCACTCTCGCCTGCATTTCGCGCACTCGACACGCACGATCTCCGCAGAGGGTTGCACTTTCGGTTGACGCTGTTCGTCCCGCCCTCCGCCTTTAAGAGAGAATTTATAAAGTGGGGAAATGTTTTTTCATTAGGACATCTCCCGTGCTAGTTTTCCAATACTCACACTTGCCTACTCATTGCATGCTTGCATGCTCATTGCATGCTTGCGTACCCATCACTTGCATACTTACACTGCGCGCTTGCCGAGTGTCAGTGTGTATGTGTAAGTGTCAGTGTCGAAGTGTCAGTGTATGTAGTGCGAATGTGGTGGAAGTGTCAGTGTGTAAGTGTACGTGTCGAAGTGTCAGTGTTCAAGGGATTTTCCGGAAGAACCCTTCGCAATGCTTTCGGGAAAAACCATGCTAAACATCTTCTAAGAAGAAAAATGCCCACCCATGTCCATCGTCCAACAAGGACAAACACAAACTGGTCACAACAGGCCCTAGCGACGGTGGCTGAAGGTCCCATATAAATCTGGATCGTGGCAGTTCGTACGGACTGCAAGGCAAAAATGGACAAAGGGACTCGTACAGAGACCCGACATGAGGGGTTCCATCCAGATCCATCGGATTCCACCGAAAGCACCCGCACATCCTGGATGCGGGTCGCTCCTCCCAGTAAGCGATGCTGTTCCACACCTGCTTCCAGTCAGTGTCACTGTGTCAGCTGGGTATGTCAGTAGAGTTTAGCAGAGTCAACCTCCCATGCTGTTTGTAGGCTTCAGAATCTTCAGACCGGTTGTTTCCTTCTGTTTGTCTTCAAAACCTGTAACCTGTGCCGCACCGATTGATCGCCATTACCATGCAGGTTCGTAGAATCGGGTGCCCCCACCATGCCTTTTAATCTAACAACTTCAAAGGAGAACAATGGCATATCAAATAATAACATTGCATGTCCCAAAGCATGCCCAAAGTCGATTTGGATGCCTAAAAGACTGCCGTGTGCCCAGCAGCAAACCCTTACTTCCCTTGGAGAGCCTACGAGGGAGCAGCTGTGAGACTGCGTATCTTTTACCAGTTCGACTGTCAGCGTGTCATCGATGTAGACCTGTCCGAAGAAGTCCTGGAGGATGGCTCGATGCCCAAAACGGGAATTGATCGCTTGCACATGAACTACCCTGACTTGGGGCCTAAGCCACTGAATCATACTGAATCTGCTCTCAAAATTTCAGCCATAAGGAATGCAATGAATCAAAGAACATCAAAGGACATACAATGTCCTTCAAGGTCGCCTCAAAGCTCAGTGCCATTCCAGGGAAACCTTGCAATGCCAATCCATCTGGCAGAACGGTGCAGTTGCCTCACGGGCTGGGCATCAGCAGGCAGTGTACAATCTACTATTACTAGGACTAGGAGCAAAGGGCATCGCTGATAGGAGCAAGGACGCTACTAGGGGCTCCTGGCATCGCTACTAGGAGTATTCTTACTACTAGTAACAAGAAGCTACTAGGAGCTGTGCAATCAACATCAATCAACTGGTCACCCCGATTGTCCCCCCATGATGTTCCCTCCCCTTGACTGGCGTCCCTGAATAAGTGATACTCGCTTACTACGAAAGTGATGAATCAAGAATATAGCCCTAGTGACTACCCTAGTGTATCTCACCAAGAGCTGCGGCAAAGGTTTCCGACGAAACTTGCCCCGTTGAATTGGCCTTCCGTGCAAGCTGCTTCAATAACCACCTGCTAGCTCACGTCACGCTCAGGAGAACATGTATAGATTCTATAGGAACATAACACTAAACACCAAAAATAGCACCTTAAAAAATGTCTCTTGAGGGACCGAAAGGAAAATTGTAGAAAATGCCTTACTCTTCCTCCAGGTCGCAGGGCTTGTTGCCTGCAAGTTGCCCAGCGTTGCGATGTTTCCAGTGACCGAAGCTCCAAAGTCCGACCAAGACCAGGCTGAAGCTTGGGACGCGTTCCACAAGTTTGACTCTGTGACGGGCACACGGCAACTTGGAAAGCCGTTGAAGAAAACCACTGCACCCAGTCTGGCGCGGTTCCGGTGGAAGCTCACATCCACAAACAGGGCCTGCTCCTAGCGCGAGCACAAGTCTCGCTCGCTCTCGTCGCGCCCCCCCCCCCGCTCTCTCTCTCTCTCTCCCTCTCTCTCTCTCTCTGTGCATGTACAATGTATACCTACACCAAAGATTGAAACCCAATTATGCTCCTCGCACTCCAAACCACCAAGATTCCAGGCACCACCATAGCCCAAGACCGCAAGATTATCCTCAAAAGAGCTACTAGTCACCGTCAAACTGCTGCAGCGCGAGTGGAGACCAGCTCCATTGCCATACGCTGTGTTCCGGAGGACACTGCTGTTCACCAAGCTCAGGGCGACCTCTTGGGTTTGCAGCAATGTTGGCGACAGGAATAACAACAGCAGCCGGCGCAACAACAACGACCACTACTAATTATATAAGCTACTATATAGTACCACGACGACCACCGCGACGACGACCACCACCACCACCACCAACCACCGCGACCGCGACCACTAGCACTACCACTACCACTACCACCACCACCACCACTACAACTACTGCTGCTACTACTGCTACTGCTACTGCTACTGCTACTGCTACTGCTACTACTACTACTACTACTACTACTACTCCTACTCGTAGTCCTACTCCTTCTACTACTCCTACTCCTACTCCTACTCCTACTCCTACTCCCTCCTACTACTACTACTACCACTACTACTACTACTACGACGACGACTACTACTACTACTACTTACTTCTACTTCTACTTCTACTTCGACTGCTACATCCACTACATCCACAACATTTACTACTACATACTACTTCCTCTGCACTCACCACTGCCTACCTCTACCTACAGTAGTTCCATCAGTTATATATAATATCTTGTATATAGTGAACTACGCGCACCTTTACATTTCCCTAAATGCCAAGTTCAACAATAAGAAGCCTCGACTCTACTCTGCTGCCACTACTAAAATTATAGATTTCCGAGTGCCCGCTGCCCCATATTGTTTCAAAACGTCTTTCTACTTGTCTTTGTGGCTACCATAACCATCCAGAAGCAGTAGCAGCAGTCAGTACTAGCATCCTCAGGCCTGCTCTCCCGAAGCTTCACTGCAAGCAATTGCGCCGCCATTTGAGTTCGCGTGGTTGGACTCCATGATGGTCTCAATTAAACTGATGCTTGCTGGGGCGTCTTCCTGAAGCTGAACCTCAATGGCCCCGCCCTCTGCACCAGCGGTGTTGGCGCTGAAGGTCACATTCCTCCAGGCTGGAGCCGCAGGCGCCGCAGGTTGAGACAAACCCAACAGCCCGGGGATTGTCAAAGCTACCAGCTATTCAGGCATTAACCCCCCAAAACAATTACTAGGCTGTAGGTCCATGAGTACCATCCTGATAGACACCGTGAAGCCACCCCGAAGATGTAGGCCTCCTCCTGATTCCAAGGCCTGATTGCTCTCAAAAATGGCATCCTCAATGATCACGTGATGCACCAAATTCCCTGAGGTGCCAACCTGGTTCATGGATGGTCCAAATTCTGTCAGTCAATTCGGATAAACCCCTCAGTCATAGGCCTCATGGGGTTTGAACATAAGAACATGTTCCAAATCACCACCCAGCAGCATTCAAGTATACAGCTCCTCCTTGATAAGCCCGATTTCGCAGAAAGCGTACTCGCCGAAAGATTGAAGGCTGCATTGTTGCAGCATCGGTGTACCTGCAACGGTTGCAACGATTGAGGTGTCAGCCGCTCACAGCCCAACAAATGGACCGGCCATGAAAACGGCCGCTCACACTATTGTCGCAGGGTGGTGTGGGTCTCTCGTCCTCAGCCAAGCATCAATGCCAAACCTCCACCTTTGAGGCATCCAGAGTTGTCTTCAAAGTCCACATCTTCCATTGTCAAATACCCAGAATTGGCCTGCGGCTTGGCGTTGCAACAAGTCGCCTTATCGAAATTACATGTTCATGTAAGAGTTGAACGAAGGAGCACAGTGATGAACAATAACAAACAGAATCAGGCATCTGAGGCTTTACTTGGCTGAGGCTATCGTCTGGAGCTGTCCGGCTGTGACATCCCAAGAGTCGGCGAACTGACCGAGGACAATGCCGAGACGATGCCTGCATCGCACACCCAATGCCCTTGCCAAAAATTGAGTTTTGAGTGAAGCGGCTGCTCGTGAAGCGCAAGCGCGCAGCATAGCTTCGCACTGCTCCAGCTTCAGAACGTGCCTTGGTGTCTCTGAAATGCACAACGATGACCTCAACATGGCATGACAAGTTACAGTAGTAGTTTAGCGTGTCATTTCTTGTATCCAAAATCTCGAACACCTTCAACGAACACCTTGCGGCTCAAGGCTTCGCAGCATTGACAACTCTTGCGGGTTGTGCTATGTTGTGCTCACCAAGCACTCATGGGAAGGCAGAAATCTGCCTTTGAAAACAAAGGTCAGAGGTCCAAGCGGCTGTATTGTTAAAAAATGTGACGTTCGTGAACTCCGGCTTGGTGTCCGCAGTCAGGTAGACAGCGCCACCAGATGAACTTGAAAATCCGTTGCGAAAAATGGTGTTCATGAACCGGCTTTGTGAAGAGCCATAACCGTAGTAGCCAGCGCCATGGACAGATGCCCCGTACTCAAAAATGCAGTCAGTAAACAAGGGCGATGCTATTCCTCCATCGTCCAGGATGCCACCATAATCACTCTGACCATGAGAGAAGCGGCACCGATGAAACTCGGTCATGGATGATTCCTCAATGAGCATCGTACCACCCCATGCAGTGCCAACATGGCGTTCAAACACGCTATCTGTGATGATCGACCTGTCTGCACCCCAGGCTGCCACCGCCGCCCCATGATTGGCAATACAATCAGTCACTATGACATTCTGAATCGATGCCACGGAGTCCTTCAAATACATTGCCCCTCCATTAAAGATTTGAGGCGAGATGGCAGGTGAGCTGCAATCCATGGAGGTCAAAGCCAGATGGCGCAAAGTGGCCGAGGAGCCAACCAAAGCAAAGCCGGCACCCACTTGGCCTCCCTCCACCACCCCTGCGCAATTCCCACCCATCACACTCAATGTCTGGATGGTCACGTCTCCCGCAACGGCATCCAAGAGCATGAAGCGCCCAAGCGACTGCAAATCAACAATGGTTTCAGCGGTGCTGCTACCTGCGCAACTTTCTTCCAGCTTCGAAGACTCAACATCTCACAACACTGACACAAACTGACTCAACTGCAGAGAGTCAGTCAAGATTGGTGAAGCATTTGCAGTAACTTCCCAAACCTCAAACATTGCCTAGAAGGAGTTTCTCGGCCTACCTGACCTTTAGTCCATTAGAGTCTAAAGTTTAAAGTCGTTTCGGTAGACAGAGACGTCCCTTGCCTTCGATGGTGAAATTGCCCTTGCCCATGCTTGACGGGTTTAAGTTGCGGTTGAGGCTTCCGGCAAAAATGCCGCTTCCCATGCGGATGATGTCCCCCTCTTCAACCTGGCTGATCGCATACTGCAGGCTGGCACAGGGTTGCGAACAGTCGCCCACATCAGCGCCAGCAGACTCGATCAGCAAAACCCTTGAGGTTGCGAGCCTGCAAGCGCCAAGCGCAAGGAGCACGTGAAGCACGTGCCACATGCCATGGGCGGAGCACGTCACTCTGAGCACGTCATGAGTCACATGCCTTGGGCATTCTGGAGTCGGTAAGCCGAAAGGTTCATCGGTTGCACAAGCGACGGAAAGCAACTCCGTGGCATGCCTGTCTCACACCGAAAGCCCACCGGAAACCCCATGATTCTTCGCCCCAGGCTCTACAAAGGTTCCTTAAGGCCTTGCCCGATTCCCTGGACCGTTTCGCGTTCTGAGCCGTCACGTTCCGAGCCGCCGAACTCCCGCGAGGCCATGGAGAGATACGCACGCGGCCTCGATCCAATCCGGAACGACCAAAAGCAGGGGAGGTGTGGTGTAGCCATTACAAGCCTACACGCAACTACTAGTAACCTCTTGTGCTTCATCACGATGGTGCTCGAAGCTGAGGGCCAAACCACAAGCAGCTTGGCATTGCGTTCGTTCAGCGGCGGGTACGTGTTTTGACTTTCGTTCAGCGGGTGCTTAACGTGCAATTTGAACGTCCAAAGGTCCCGTACACGTGGGAATTCTCCTCGTCACGCTGTGTACATCAGGGTGTTTTGGTGGTGCTGGTGTCTGAGAAGTGGTGGGCTGCTTTGTCAAACAAACAACTGCACATTGCTTGAGCAGCTCAGAAGTGAGCAACAAACATGAGCTGTGTCCAGAAAACTCATTGAGGTCAAGTCTGGCCCATGTCAGCTCAGGTGTTCATGTATCATGTAGCAGGGTCAAAGTGAACAGAAGCGCCAATCCCGGCCAATCCCAGTTTTACGGAAAGTTCCGTCACCTTGAGGAATCTCGTCACAGCGACCAGCTATGTAAAAAGAAAATGGCATCAAAAAAGTATTAAAAGAGTCAGAAGACTATTTGCGCCCGCAGCGCATGCGCGCGGTCAGAAGACAAACTGGATCTGCCAAAATCCATGACCGCAGCTGCTTGAAAACCCAACATGTTTGAAGAGGCTTGGTTTGAAGTTGAGCAGGGCATGTATGCTGCATGTGGGCCGTCCAGTGCCCCAGTTACAGTACCAAACACAGCCGCGAGAAGTGGATGTGGTTCCTCCAATTGGCATGCTGCCTCAGGCAGTAGGCCTCCTCCTGCAACCAGGGGCGTGTTTTGGTTCGCGAAGGTCAGTAGGCGGCATGTCTTCGTGTAACAGCGATGAACCACGATGAAATAACAGTTTTCTTTTTCTCAGATAGCCTGTTAGCCAATGAGCTTGGGCACCTGAGTCTTCCCCGAGTTGAACCCTATGACCCCATGCGACGTAGTCTCCGAGTCCCCTCAAGATCCGCTTCAAAGAAAGGACCTGACCTGCGCCGCCAGCGCGTTTTCTGTGCCGTTCACAGGTTCTTTTGGCCGTCGTCGGCCATCTGCATCGGCCCCAGCGGGAAGCGTCTCTCAACCTCAGCGACGTTGAAGTCCAAACTAATGGCGATGGCCTCCAACCTAAGAGCGACGGCCTCCATTCCACCCTATCACGGCCATCCTCACCCTCCAGGAAGCTGGAGTGGAACATCTGCACATCTGCCAGGACACCGGCGGATTTCCAAGCCCATCAAACGTGATCCTCACAACCATGTGTTGCGGAACCTGGCGCCAGTTCTGGAGGTCATGTGCGAGTGGATGGGTGATCGAAACCGCACACATTTGCCTTACCTGGTTCGCTTCCTGCCTGTGTCTCAATGGCATCTTCCCTGTTCAAGTGCATGAGCCAGCCATACATCATCCGCAGCACGGCCTTTCGCGAAGAGCGAAAGTTTCTACAAGTCAGAGCTACCACAGTGCGCCCTGCAATAGATGCACTTCTTCTCCCAAGCTGAGAAAGGGAGAGGAATCCAGATTCCGGCTCACCCCGATGTTGGTCTGGAAAAGATATCTATATTACATAAAGAAGTTAATAGTGTTGCGTAATTCTACATATGTATGTATACACAAAGGTAAGAGGGGGCGTGGTTGTTTTGCTTCATCATCCACGTGGCTTCTAGTCAGCGCCACACCTGATGCGAAATAATCATGATGGGCTGCTGGATCCGCTCCAAATGCGACATGACGGACTCCAACCTCATCCATCGAGCTGGAACACTGGATTCAAATCTGCAAGCTGCAAAGTCAGGCAAACCAAGCAGAACAGTGAACACTCTCATTATCTCAAAACCCTTTTGGCCTCAACTTGCAGCCCAGGGCACCTTGCAATCACATCCTTGTTTTTGCTGGATGAGAGTTCCGGACACACGGTCAGCATGTGACAAATCGAGAAAGGACTGGAAGAACTGGAGTTTCACATGATTTTGACACGTGAAGACATGTGCATCCTGCTTCCACCACACTGAAGCTAACATAAGCTAACTGCGTTGGACATATGCTGATGTGAGGTTGGATTTGCAGTCTGGCATCGTAGTAGGACTCACCTCGAGGATACCGGAAACCAAGCTTGTCCCGTTTTCCTTGGTGCCAATCCACTCTGCTGTCTTGTAAGCCAACAAAACGGGTGTCGTTGTTCTAGCCCTCCGTTTAGTCGCATGCATGATGGGCAACAGGTATGATCTCAATGGCTCACAGACTCACAGGGGAAGAATCTTGGACAAAATCACTGTCAAGACGCTATCCTCAATAACATCTGGCGCTCGCTGCTGTATCTCCTCAAGCGAATGAGATTAAGACCTAGAGAAATGGGTCCTTGCACGCTCCGAAGAAATCAATAGTGCTTGGGATCGGGGGGGCTGTCGATCATTTCTTCATTCTCTGTCAGATTAAACAGAATCTACTGTAAAAATATCTAAAAATATCTATATAAAACATGTTACTCCTACAGTCGTATCAGTCTTAAATGGGATGCATCTATCCAGAAACTTGGTATCCATTCATCTCCTTCAAGTTCTTCGATTTCGTCAATGTTGCGATTGGACACGCGACTGTCGAACAAATCCGGAGACCGTAAGCCTTACGGCGTAAGGGTCCACTAAAGGGAGTTCGGAAAAGGTCTAGTGAGTCCAGTGAAAGTAAGTGAGCTTCCAAATCCTCCGTTGCGTTGGAAAGCCACCCCAAACCGCCAAGAAGCCCGTGAAAGTCCACGCTGCCTGCTTTATTATGGACAGCCCCGGCCCCATCCGGCTCCCACAAAACAAAAGTGTCTCACCAAAATCCGCCGGGGGGGGGGGGCGAGAACTCCTAAACCCAACAAAAGCACCACCATGGCGCACCAGCTGGAGCTGTTCTGCTGGACCCGTTCTCGGGAGCACTTCGAGGATATGGACACCGCCACCGGCGGACGCGGAGTCGGACGCACCGACTTAATGGGGACTTGATGGCACGGGGGTTCGTGAAAAAGGGCACTAAGAATGGTAGGAAGCTGCACAAGGAGTAACGTCGATGAATTGGGTCTTGGTGAGCGCGGCCGATCTTAGTCCAAGCCTTCCAAGTCGGACCGGCGAATGGCACAGTGGGAACACTGCTTGAAACAAGACTTGAAGAAGGTTTCTATTGTATAGTCAGATGTAGTCAAATGCTTTCATCCTCTTTTGGCAAAACACCGAAATCTGTTGCCCTTCGGCGATTCGGAGGGAATTCGATCGAATGCTCATCCATCGGATCCTTCTCGGTCAAACCATCGTACTCACCCGCGTAGACTTCATCCATGTTCCTGTCCATCCGGAGTTCAGCTGTGCACTACACCAGCTCCACCCCTCAAACACGCCTGAACTGGCGCCCCCGCATTTGGAAGAAGGTCTTGCCATCAGGACCTGCCGGTCTTGGTCAGAGTTGCAAGATTGCCTCCAACACTGCCACTGATCAAAGTGTAATCAGGAACGAAGCCATACAAAGTGTGTTCAAAGTCAAAGGAGTTCTGCTTCCGCTCTACGAACCCCCACACGCTCTTCCCCAACAAGTGGAGGGAGACCGTAACAAGTGCATAAATAAATGGAGAGTCTGTATCCGAGATCTCGACACTGTTCGATCCTTCTTGGGTCCACTGATCCGTTCGCACACATGGTCCACCCATGTCCACCCTCCGTTCAAGTGCCTGACAACTCTGGATGCTCGATGACCTGGGCCGTTTCGATGGTTCTCCGCAGCGAAGAGGTCCAGAGTCGCCCTGGCCTCATGACTCATCGGTCCAAAGTCTCAGTCGCCTGTCTTCTTTTCAAAAACAACACTGGTGAAGCACCTCCACCTCCTCCGAGACTCTCCCTTCCGCCCGTTTGAGGTCCGTTCGCTGCGCAGCTGAGGCCCACACACCCTTCCGGCATCTGATGTGTCTCCCGCAACCAGGACCAAGGTCACCACCTCCGAAAAAATTAGCGATTGGTGGCTCTTCCAAGGCAAACGGTTCGACGCGGGGAAAAACAGTATCAAATGTTTCTGTACCACACATGCAGGCGGGATGCGGTGTCTCAAGGTCTTGGTCTCTCGGTGTCTCGGTGATGCTGTATATGTTTGGGGGGCGTCTCGTGTAAAAAGAATGCGCCCTCTGAATGGTAGCCGTTCGCGGTGTTTTTTGAGTTGTCAATTGCTTCGAAATAATTCTGCTTTCTATCACCGACCCCACGTCCGGCAGCTGCATGGAAGTTTTGCCTCGCCTTGGCCCCACCCAAGCGCTCCAGGAGTTCATCCATGTGGTCCGGTGCGTCTTCGAAGTCGGAGCCCCAACCCACCTGGGTGCCGCCCACCCTTGGAGTGGAGGGCGCAAGCATTGCTTGATCTTGGGCAGTTTCTCGCGTAAAATTGAGTGGATCCAAGTGATCTCAGTTCCCAGTTCTGGACTGGGCATGCCTGCCTGCACGCGCCTCAGCTGCATGTACCTGGCCCAAACAAAAAAGAAAAGGAAAAAGTAAGTAAGTAAGTAAGTAAGCAAGGAAGTAGGTAAGTGAGTTAGTATGTCAGTAAGTAGGTATGCAAGTATGTAGGTATGTAAGAAAGTAAGAAAGTAAGCAAGTAAGTAAGTGCTGCAAGACTGGAAGAATGTACAGTAAGATTGTAAGGTTGTAAGTACGTACGTACGTACGTAA